CCCTCCCCACACACACACTCCCAATCCCCCACCACGCACACACATTTCCCCTGCCCACCACTGCTGCTATAATGTTGCTACACACCCCCCCGCCAGACTGTGGCCCCTCTACCATCCAGTGCTCGTACCTTCAAGCCCTTTCCCCGCCCCTATCCCCCACCTCATTATATTGTCTGCCCTTCCCAGTTGTTTACATTTTTGTTAATTTTTTGTGTGTTAATTTGCTTTTTTAGAACTTGTAAACTGAGAGTGTTGTTTTGTTCCCACATAAACTTAAGTTATACCTCGTCCACCCCATGTTGCTTATTTTCAAAGCCCTTTGTTTTTTTCTTGAAAAGAACTTTCTTGAATTTAAAAAAAAATATCTAAAAAGCATGTTTTAATCATAATGTACTGACACTTTTATTCTTCTACTCTTGACATTGAAGTTGAATGAAAAGGGCATAGATAGAAATTTAAAAAAATAAAAAATAATAAAACCATTCAAATATATAGATACAAATAGTCTGCAGAAGAGAAACATTATCAGTAAATAGTAATTTCTGCATCAAATCAAAAGTGTTAACAATGGTGAGTTGCATTAATGCCCCGAGGTCATTTTTGTCTTACGTTCTGTGCTGCACTGAAACTCCTAGGACACCTCTCCCACCTCCCACCTCGCCCCGTTCGGTAGTGCACTTCTTGTAGGCCAAGAGGCAGCAGAGATCTTTCTTTCATTTGCATGATAAGTTATGTTTTTAGATCTTGCCGAGAGCAGTGACCCCCCCCCCTGAAGAACAAACAAACAAACAAACAACCTGTCCATCAGCACAAGAATCACTGTAGTTTCGGATTCAGCTTGTTATGTAGGCTGCCAGTCAAATTTGGTTAAGAGAGGAGGTGACCTGTCTGAACCAATGGTTTGCTAGAAACTGATATTGTACCCGACTGATGAGTGACTTTTGTACTTTTGTAAATAATTAGTTGGAACTGATATGTAACTGAAATTAGGGGATGTTCCTTTTGTACTTTTATAGTTGGAACTGATAGGTAACAGAAATAAGGGGGAGTGTTCCTTTTGTACTTTTATGGTTGGAACAGATAGGTAACAGAAATTAGGGGGAGTGTTGTATTTGTACTTTTATAGTTGGAACTGATAGGTAACAGAAATAAGGGGGAGTGTTCCTTTTGTACTTTTATGGTTGGAACAGATAGGTAACAGAAATTAGGGGGAGTGTTGTATTTGTACTTTTATAGTTGGAACTGATAGGTAACAGAAATAAGGGGGAGTGTTCCTTTTGTACTTTTATGGTTGGAACAGATAGGTAACAGAAATTAGGGGGAGTGTTGTATTTGTACTTTTATAGTTGGAACTGATAGGTAACAGAAATAAGGGGGAGTGTTAACCACGTTAAAGATTAATAATACAATTTTTGCCCTGCGCAGTTTTTTTTTTCTGAACAGCGAACCGAACGATTTAAAATTATCTAATATAAAAAAACCCAACAAGACATTGAAGTCATCAATGCGATAACAAACACACACAACCCCTCCCCCCACCACGCTTTCCGCCCGCGATTTAAAAAAAAGGCAATCGAATCAAAACTATTGATTTGACAGAACGTAAAAAATTTCTACCTAAGAATAAATGGTGATATGGCTATCCGAATGGTTGCAGTGTGCCATCATCAGAAAGGATGATGCCTACTTTTGGTTGGTTTTGCATTGTTCCTTTCTTTTTATGCTCCTCTGTACAGAATGCCCACCTTTCCTGGTCACTCACCCTCCCCCCCCCCTCCCTTGCTGTGCAACCTTTTGCTTTTTGTCCTTGAGGCTTTCTTTTCAAGGTGGATGCACCACATAACTACTTGACTTGAGCTTGGCGCTTGCAAAGACTTGTGTTTGGTCTCATGGACGGGTGTATTATAAACGCCCAAGGTTTCTCCTTCTGTTGAAGCTTGCTGCCTGTCCATAGTTTTCCAGCTAGTTGATTTTATTTCACCGACACATCAAACGCATTGACCAATGATTTTAACGTTTTGCAGTTTCCTTATGTCGAGCTCTACTTTTTTTACCTTCTGTTTCTTCTTCTTTTTTTGGGGGGGTCTCTTTCTGACATTTTGCAGAAATAGAATTTGATGGTAATTTTTAACTGCCCTCATTTGATCCATTGTGATACTTTACAATCTCTTTTTTTTTTTTTTTTTTTCAAAAGAAGTAAAAATATAAATTTTTCCAATATCTGAAGTGTTGTTAAAAAAAAAAGGAGGTTGTCATTTCTTTATGCTCGAAGAGAGGGAAGTAAATGATGTTCGCCAGAGTTCTCCCTCCTTGCTTCTAGGGTGTGTCTTTACT